ATCAATTATACCGATATATTGGTAGGAACAGATGTTATCTTAAAATAAATGACTCATCCATAAATGATAACCATGATATCACTGATGCTCGTATTAAGTTCTGACCACTGACAATACCTTACTTCCTGATTTTCAATGCATTATAGGTATTCATAGTTAGGATAAGAATGATCTTGAACAGAAAATCAACATCCTCTACCAAGTATTCAAAGAAATAGGACTCAAAATTTTTTCAGAAATGGAACCTATGACCTGGAATTGGGATCAAAACAGTGTTGTCACAGACCCTGAATCCATCATAAAAAATTTAGGATGTGGAATTAGTTAATACCAAACAGTTCAAATACCTCAGTATATGGATCCGTCTTAATAAATTTAGTATAGGAGATAAGAAAATTTTGTTCATTATGTAGATATATATATATATATATATATATATATGAAGAAATATAGTCTTAAGGTGTGCTATATTATGGGATAAAGTGCTCAATATCAGAGATAGAGCATGTGTAAATATAAAAGTGAACATAGAAGTCAACACTTAGAGGCGACAGTCTGTTTCATGCTATATGCAATCGTCAGGCCAGGTGTGCTGCTATTTTTCTCGGCTATTTATACATATACGGGTCAGTGGTGCATTGTGGGTAGTCTATTATGGTGGTTATTTTACCAGAAGTTGCTTATTTATTTATTTGGGTTAAATTATTTGGCTTGTTTTTATTTAATTTTATTTTTTGTTTCTTATTTTATTTATTTATTTACTTATTTTTTTTTTTTTTTTTTTTTTTTTTTTTTTTTTTTTTTTTAATCGGTGTTTTTATTAACGTAGTAAAAATTTGTTTATATCACTTATTTAATAGTTTTGTTTTGGTTTGAGAATTTAATTAAAGCTATTTGTTCGGTTTTGGGGTTGGTTGTTGTAAAATAAAAAAGTAAAATAAATTGACCTAAAAAAGTAAAATAAATTGACCTAAATTCATCCAAGTAAAGAAATAAACTAACCAATCCTGATAAAGTTACCGTTAGAAAAAAAAAATAAAGATAATCAACCCAAATAAACAAAAATTAAAACCTGTTTCTGCCAAAATAATAGTTAGAATAAACTACAACAACCAACCCCAACATACGGAAATTTTATTCCTTTAAAAATTAATTCCTTTAATTTACCTGAAGAAGATCATGATACTGGAAACACATGTAGCAAAAATATGAAGAATAAAATATAATATATACACTAAAACAAATCCACATTATAACCAAAAACGTTTGCAGTTTCTTTCTTTTTTTAAAATATATATATATATATATATATATATATATATATATAAACTATCTATAATGTTGTTATGGTCCGGTTCCTTGTACCACGGCGATAGTCCAAGGTAGAACCAATAAAGAAGAACTTGAACACGGATATGGAAATAACACAGATATATTACAAACAGGAATATATACAGAGAAGTAGAAAGTGTTAGTACGAACAATCAGGTTTAGTAATAATTGTCTGAACGCGACTCTGTTTCGGACTGCCTCTGACTCGACTGACTGACTTGCTCGCCCTGACTGACTGACAGACTCCTGACAGACTTCACTCCAGACTGAACTCCCTGCTTCCTCTTGAGGCGCAGTATTTATTACGTATGGAATAGTCCATTATGTTATTATGGGTAAGGTCCCATAACAATTGTGTATATAAAGATTTATTTTGTATTTATCAACACTCTGTGCATTTTCTTTTAATCATTACACAAAGCCAATATACAACCAAACCAAATATACCGATACATGGAGGGAATAGACATTAACATAAAATGAAAAACTCATTCATATCTGATAATCACATGACAACTATACTATGACTGATGCTTGTTTAGTGATTATCTACTTCAATAATTAAATATGTAAGGTTTCTTATGGGAACATTTTTATAGTACATGAAGTAATGGTGCTGAAATAAGTACATGAACAAAATAACAAACCAATTGATTTCCACTATTTACATTATTCGGACTATTGTCCTCATCTTTGTTGCCATATTTATTACAACGTTTCAGCCATTATACGCTCCTTCTTCAGGTGGTTGGAATGTCGAACTGAACCCTTTATTTCACTCAATAGATTAGACTGTTCTAGTTCCGCGTGCCATGTTCAATGGATGTCAGTTATCAGTTATCTCCTGTTAAATATGGCGACAAAGATGAGGACAATAGTCCGAATAATGTAAATAGCGTACATAATACCTCATCTCAGAAATATAGACAATTGATTTGCTATGTAAGATAACACCTATTAGACAAATTAACAAATGGAAAGTATAAAACAAGACATTCTTTTGTTTGATGTAAATTGTATATACAACGAAAAGTTTATGAATATGTTATAGTAGGAACTTTCTTTGTTGGTGTGTTTTATGAGTGCAGCATTTGCAGTCCTTTAAGCTTCAGTGTGAAAAGTTCATGACACCATTTCAAAAGAGGAAAAACCCGGAAGTGAGAGACTTACTTAAGGGGTTAAGCATTTTTATATTCAGGAACTACCGCTGATAAGTTCATTTTGAGCTGCAACTGCTACTATGTTATTAAAGGGCACTATACTCATATTAAGAGCTGACCACAGACAATCCTCCTACTTCCTGATTTTCAATGTATCATAGGTATTCATAGTTGAGATAAGAATTATCTTGAACAGAAAATCTTTATCTTCTATCAAGTGTTCCAAGAAATAGGATTCAAGATAAACATTTCCAAAATAGAAGCCATGATCTGGAACTGGAATGAAAGCAGTGGTGGCAAATCCCCTGAATCCATCATAAAAAATTCAGGATGTGGAATTAGTATATACTTCGATATATGGATCAGTTATAACAAATTTATTATAGGAGATAAGGAAATTAAACATAGAATAGGCCGTGTTGGTATATGTTTTCCATCCTTTTCTTAACTAGACCAATATTACCTCTATTTGGAAGAGCTAGACATTACACAATCTTGCTAACCATATTTCTATCACCTTAAAATATGCTCTTTTAAAATTATTTCCTTTTTTCATCCATTTTGTTCTATCCACATCAATTTTTTCATAGTTATAGGCTATTTTCCAAGACCTGACATTTTGTGGAACAGACTCCTGCATGTATACTTCCTTGAAAAGTTCATTCTTAATCCTTTCAAATAGTCAATGGCCAATCGTTATCTATCCTCCTTATCCTCATAATCTTGCTACTTCCCCTTTCACTCACATTTATCATGCAAGCACAGATGGGCACTGACCCTGTTATAAAATAAAATAAGACATATCTTGGCTGATTTACAGGCAAATACTCAAGAGCGAGAACCGGATGTGAACGGGACAAAGCCCCGTCACAAAATGACCATTATCTTTCTTTACAAATGTTCCCGATACACATGTTCTGGTCAAAAAATAAAATAATATTTAAAGTGATCTATTTTTCGTCCAATAAAAATGCTTTCCTCCTAATTATACTCACTTCGTTTTTCGAGCCTGTTAAGCCATAAAAAACGCTATAAAAGGGGTCACACGAAAGTTCAACGGCAGTCCACAGGTGGCCGCAAACAGACCGTTATGGTCAGGCCAAGCATTCAGCAGCTGAAAGCAGGGGAGCATCAACCACCGTCAACATGTGTGAACCACTATAAGAGATCGACCAGATCCGAAATCCGGCTTATGAACTTTACCACACCAAGGTAGCTGTCCCAAACCCTCGCGTTCCTGTTGAAATAAACCACGTAAATCTATTTCTACTGTTGTCGTATTTCTTTCTTGCAACCATACGCTTGTCTATAACAACCCTTTGAGCCTTCCATAAAATAAATCAACTAATAGAAAACAACATACCAAGGCAAATGTACTGATGCTTTGAGCAGGGAGTTATGCTGATGACATAGGTGTTTGTAGTTGGGATAACAATGATCTTGAACAGAAAGCCAACATCCTCTATCAAGTATTTTAAGAAAGAGGACTCAAAATATTTTTCAAATGTTTTCGCTATAAAAATGTATCCCGACACTCTCATAGAGTTATTTTTTTGGAGGTCCTATATTTGCCCATAGATGGGTCTTTGACAGGTGCTATCACCCAGGGTCACAGTGGACCTGTGAACAGCAGCAATTAAGAGGTGGTTCTGTGTTCCTCAAAACCTTTAATCGCCTTGCAATCAGCAGTTTGAACAAGGCCAGTACTTTCCATTCCTTGGTCACAATGACTTGTGACTTTGTGTGACTACAACAAAAAATAGTCACTGACATTATATTGGAATATTTGAACATCGTTCTAACCACTTGGCCACATGAACTTGAAAACTTAGGTGTATGTGTCTCTAGGAGGTCACTACATATACGTAATATTTTACACATATACATGCACATTTTACAACAATTAACACATTTTTTTTTTTTTTTATTTATTTCCCTATATTTTTTTTTTCAATTCCAACATCATCCATGACTCCCAGACCGCCCGGTTGGATCTGTAATTAGCATGTCACCAACAGCTCTCCCCAGAGGAAACCAAATCAGTCAAAAATGGTGAATGGTCCTGTCTGTCAAGAAAGATACATTTCTCCCCATTCCACCCCCTGAGGGAAATGATACAATATTTTACGGCCAATAAAGACTCAGCGGTTAACAAAATGCTGTATTGTGTCAAGTCTAAATCAGTGTCTAACTTTTTATTACAACATCAGCGCACAACTTAGTATGGTTCGAGATGCCCACTTCCCCGACCCTTGCAGAATGGAAAAAAAAAAAAAAGAAAATAGAAAAGATTTCTATCTCCGTTCCTCTAACATCCACCAGTCTTGGGATATTTTGAATTGAAAAGATTATTTGAAAGAAAAATGCCCGGTCGTTGTCTCTTCAATTATGATATAACAATATCTTGTCCTTATCAAGCAGGAAAGAATAAAAGAAAAAATTCACAGGGAAAGAAAAAGAGGAAAATATGAGGATTTTACAATGGAGAGAAAGAAGTACATAAGGATATTAAGAAGGAAGCAAAGAAGAAATAAATAAGAGAAGATGAGAGGAAGGAAAGTAAGAAAAAAACACAGAGGGAGAGAAAGAAGGAAAACCACATGAGGAGAGAAAGAAGGAAAAAAGACATGGATAAAGAAAGAAGGAAAAAACACAGAGGGAGAGAAAGAAGTAAAAAACATATAGAGGAGAGAGAGACAGAGAGAGAAACACATGGTTAGAGATAGAAGGAAAAAAGACATAGATAAAGAAAGAAGGAAAAAACTCTGAGAGAGAGAAAGAAGGAAAAACACATGGGGAGAGAAAGGAAAAAACACATGGGGAGAGAAAAAAGTAAAAAACATATAGAGGAAAGAAAGAAAGAAAGAAAGAAAGAAAGAAAGAAAGAAAGAAAGAAAGAAAGAAAGAAAGAAAAAGAAACACATGGGTAGAGAAAGAATGAAAAAACAAAGAGAGAGAGAAAGAAAGAAAGAAAGAAAGAAAGAAAGAAAGAATTAAAGAAAGAAAGAAGAAACACATGGGTAAAGAAAGAAGAAAAAACACATAAGGAGAGAAAAAAGTAAAAAACATATTGAGGAAAGAAAGAAAGAAATAAAAAGAAACACATGAGGAGAGAAAGAAAGAAAAAACACAGAGAGAGAGAAAGAAGGGAAAAACACATGAGGAGAGAAAGAAGGAAAAAAGACATTGAGAGAGAAAGAAGGAAAAAACAGAGAGAGAGAGAGAGAGAGAAAGAAGAAAAAAAACACATGAAAGAAGGAAAAAACACACAGGGAGAGAAAGAAAGAAAGAAGAAACACATGGGTAGAGAAAGAAGGAAAAAAGACATGGATAAAAAAAGAAGGAAAAAACACAGAGAGAGAGAAAGAAGTAAAAACCATATAGAAAGAAAGAAAGAAAGAAAGAAAGAAGAAGGAAAAACACATGAAGAAAGAAAGAAGGAAAAACACACAAGGAGAGAAAGAAGTAAAAACCATATAAAGAAAGAAAGAAAGAAAGAAAAAAAGAAAAAAGAAAGAAAGAAAGAAAAAGAAACACATGAGGAGAGAAAGAAGGGAAAAACACATGAGGAAAGAAAGAAGGAAAAAACACAGAGAGAGAGAAAGAAGGAAAAATCACATGGGGAGAGAAAGAAGGAAAAAACATATAGGAGAAAGAAAGAAAGACATGGGTAAAGAAAGAAGGAAAAAACAGAAGGTGGAGAGAAAGAAGGAAAAAACAGAAGGTGGAGAGAAAGAAGGAAAAAACAGAAGGGGGAGAGAAAGAAAGAAACCCAAGGATAAAAATAAATTTATAAGAAAGAAGCAAATAAGGATGTTAATAAAGAATGAAATTAAAGAAGAAAAAAGGAAATAAATAATAAAGAACTGAATACAAAAGACTAGAAAGACAGAGGGAAATACATGAGGAAAGGAAGGAAGGAAGAAATATATACAAAAGGTAATAACGAAGAAAAGAAATAAGAAACAAATATTGTAAGAAAGAAAGCAAAACATAGGAAAAGAAACGAAGCAAAACACAGATACAAACAAAATACAAAGAAAGAAATGAGAAAAGAAACAAAGAAAAAATTGATATGAAAAAAGTAAAAACATGGAAAGCAAAAACATAAATAGATAAAGAAGGAAAAAATATATAAGGAAAATACACAATAAAAGGAGGAAGGAAAAGAAGAAGAAAAATAAAGAAAAAAGAAGAAAAATAAAGAAAAAAAGAAAAAAGAAGAAAAACAAAGAAAGAAGAAAAATAAAGAAAGAAGAAGAAAAATAAAGAAAAAAAGAAAAACAAAGAAAGGAGAAAAATAAAGAAAGAAGAAAAATAAAGAAAAAGGAAAAAGAAGAAAAATAAAGAAAGAAGAAAAATAAAAAAAGGAGAAAAATAAAGAAAGAAGAAAAATAAAGAAAAAGGGAGAAAAATAAAGAAAGAAGAAAAATAAAGAAAAGAGAAAAAAGAAGAAAAATAAAGAAAGAAGAAAAATAAAGAAAGAAGAAAAATAAAGAAAAAAGAAGAAAAATAAAGAAAGGAGAAAAATAAAGAAAGAAGAAAAATAAAGTAAAAGAAAGAAGAAAAATAAAGAAAAATGGAGAAAAATAAAGAAAGAAGAAGAAAAATAAAGAAAAAGGGAGAAAAATAAAGAAAGAAGAAGAAAAATAAAGAAAGAGGGAGAAAAATAAAGAAAGAAGAAGAAAAATAAAGAAAAAGGGGAAAAAAAGAAAGAAAAAAATAAAAAAAAAAAAAAAGAAGAAAAATAAAAAAAAGAAGAAAAATAAAGAAAGGAGAAAAAAAAGAAAGAAGAAAAAATAAAGTAAAAAGAAAGAAGAAAATAAAGAAAAAATGGAGAAAAAAAAAAGAAAGAAGAAAAAAATAAAGAAAGAAGAAAAAATAAAGAAAAAGGAGAAAAATAAAGAAAGAAGAAGAAAAATAAAGAAAAAGGGAGAAAAATAAAGAAAGAAGAAGAAAAATAAAGAAAGAGGGAGAAAAATAAAGAAAGAAGAAGAAAAATAAAGAAAAAGGGAGAAAAATAAAGAAAGAAGAAAAATAAAGAAAAAAGAAAAAAGAAGAAAAATAAAGAAAGAAGAAGAAAAATAAAGAAAAAAGGAGAAAAATAAAGAAATAAGAAGAAAAATAAAGAAAAAAGAAAGTACATAAGGAAAGAAAAAAGAAAATGCATAGAAGAGGAAGATAGAGAAATAGTTAAAGAAAGGCCAAAATCCAAATGGAAAGAAAAAAAAAAGAACGGACAATGGAAGAAAGCAGACAATGAAAGATTTCGCAAGCAAATAGCACAAATAAAAAATAATTTTTTTTTTATAAAAACTTTTCAAGTAATAAATGACTGACTTCGAATTCACATCAATTTTAGACACACACTAGGAATGATGGGAAAAAAAGAAACATTTCTGCTAACTTCAAGACATAAAATCACAATGTATACCATTTTAAAATCGCAAAAGTCCAAGAAGGAATGGTCTCTCTATGAACATAAAAATCTTTCATCAAAATTTTTGTGTAATCTCCAGATCTATCTGTAAGGTGAGAAGTGAAACAAACATCTGGGCATTTTTATGATTAACTTTCCAAAAGAGGTGGTAAAAGAACGGTCTTCTTTACCAAACATCCTCAGTTTAAAACTATTCTATATATATATATATATATATATATATATAGATAGATAGATAGATAGATAGATAGATAGATACAGTTGTATGGATATGAGTTTGTGACCCTGAATTTCATGCTTTTGCGATCATCAGTTTGAAGATCACAAAAGCATGAAACCATGGGTCACAAACTCATATCCATACAACTAAATATGTTAGGTCTATCATTGACATTGAATACTTTCCAATAAGTACTGTGCATATAAAATATATATATATATATATATATATATGGATAGATAGACAAATATTGAACAAGATGTATATGTGAATATATCAAGATAAATCAGGGTCGATAGAGAGAAACAGCTGTGCTTCACTTTGATTAACTTTACAAAAGAGGTGGTAAAAGAACAGTCTTTACCAAATTTCCTCAGTTTAAAAATATACTTATAGATAGATAGATAGACAGACAAATATTGAACAAGATGTATATATGGACTAGCAGCATGGCCCAGCGTTGCCTGTGCTTGATTTAAAAATTGTACGACTCATACAGCAATCGCTATCACATAACTTAAAATATTTTTGTCCTTCCTTGCCTTTAAAGGAGTGCCTTTTTCCTTGCTGATGTTGCTACATGCCTTACTTCTTGCCTATCTCACACTGCAAATTTTTTCTAAGCTCTAATCTAAACATTAAATCTGTTACAAAAAAAGAACTAAACAAAATGAACACAAAACGATCAGCTTTAAAAAAGGATTTGAAACTGGAAAAACCGAATGAAAAAAGAATGTTAACAACAAATGCTTTTTCACACCCAACCCAGTTCTGCGGAATCAGAATCAACGTTGAGTTTAAGCAAGCGAATGAGCCAATTGGAGTAAAGTGCCATGCAGATTTAAATTTTTCCCACTTGTGACGAATGCAGCTATTGATTTTTTTTTGCATTCATGTCAGTCAGCTGTTGGCTGTTGGCTCTCACGCTGGCCAATAGAATCTTTCTGCCTATTCGTGGCAGCCAGCTATAGGCTCTCACTCTGGCCAGTAGAAAATGGCCGCAAACTATATGAAAACTGGCATAGAAGCATGAAAAAATTGATTATTTCTATCGATGGGAGTTGGGAAATGCAAAGTCGGTCTTAACCTTTCTGTTAACTTGGAGCATGTGCATGTAAATTTTGGTACAAATCCGTCAAAAATTGCAGCCATGCATTCGTTTACACACACACACACACATCCTGCCTTTTATAGATAGAGATAAATCAAGATAGATCAAGATTGATACAGATATATATATATATATATATATATATATATATATATATATATATATATATATATATATAGATAGATAGATAGATAGATAGATAGATAGATAGATAGATAGATTAAAGAATGTAAATTAATACAGCAATAATATTCTATAAGACAAACTTGTTCACCACTACTCTGGGATAAGCTACACATTTAATTATTTCACTCCATGCAAGGTGATAAAGTCACTAAGACACAAGGTGTTACAGAGTGTGAAAGAGAGTCCAATAAAAGACCAGGATTTAAGAAGACGCAATATAATGACTGGCACTTCATTCAAATTTTTGAAGATCACATTTGACTAGAAAGCAAGAAGCTTGAAGATAGTCCCACAAGCGAGAGGTGTGAGAGAAGAAACTCTCAGCATAGAACTTTTACGGTTACATCTATCAATGTCAACAGCAAAATAATGGGACCAAAATGCGTCTTCTTTATGTGCCCTCTCCCCTCAGGAAGTAGGCGATCATGGCTCTCCACAAGTTCCTCTTCCTTGTAGCTCTTAATAAATTTTGTCGCCATCCATTTACTCAAGCTCATTAAATATGTTGCACATTGTTTTCCGCTTGCCCTCTATCTGTCCCGTGAGTATCAGATTTTCCAAGCCTTCCTTCCTCATTATATGTCCTATAAACGTCAATTGTCTTTTCCTGATTTTCAGTATTAGTTTCCTTTTTGTTTTTATTTTCTACAAAATTTTGTCGTTGCTCACATGTTTCGTTCAGGGTATCCACAGCATCTTTCTGTAGAAGTATTGCTGCCATATATGGTCTGGAGCCCCTTCTGTTTGCCTTGGGGTTCTTGATAGGCTCCTGAGGCGATTATATGCAATATAATTGGCCCTGATCTGGCATCTCGTCTACAGTCACTTTCTCACAGACATGCCGTCGCCTCCCTCTGTCTTTTTTTACAAATACTTTCATGGCAATTGCTTCGAGGAGCTGCATTCGCTGGTTCCCAGACTTCATGAGTTCCAGCGCCCTACGAGGCTGGCATTCCACTCTCACCCCTTCACTGTCGAAACTCCTAAATGTAACCGTCTCTTCTACTCCAATAGCTTCATGTCTCACACCTCTCGCCTGTGGAACATCCTTCCCAATTACTGTTTCCCTGAGAGCTATAATCTCCAGCTATTCAAATGTAATGTCAATTGACATCTCCAGTTGCCTTGATCTATCCACTCCCCTTCTCCTCATCCTTTCTTCTATCACTCCTATTTGATCTTGCTCTAAATTTTCTGTAACCCCTTGCGTCCTAGTGGCTTCCCGCCTTGCTTGGGGTGAAATGCTTAAAAAAAAAAAAATTGGTGAGGACATGTGACGATTTCCGAAAAATTTTTGTTTACAAAATTTCACTAACAAGGTTTGTATCAAACCAGGGTATGTTTTGAGCATACCACCCAATCAATGAAGTTAAGCAAAAGCAAGCCTTGTCAATACCTAGATGGTTAACCACTTCATAATATCAGGTGCTGCAAGTTTAGATGTGTGGGTGGTGTGTAATGGAATGTGTAATTCCAATTGAAAGAGCCACGTTTTAATTCCAGCCAGTTTCATTATGTACTCACAAATAGCATCAGGAAAGTTATGAATTCATCTTTTCTCTACCCCAGCTATGGGTTAATTAGTAGGACTTATATCAGTAAATCATTATTATCTCCCCTGAAATTGCTGTTATGCATTGTGAAAATATATATATATATATATATATATATATATACACACACACACA